ATGGTAAGTGAATCAAAATGCATTTCATTGTGTAATATTTAATGCTGCCAATTAAAAGCAGAAGAGAAATTTAACAGTTGGAACAAATTCAATCATTTTTCAAGTCCTTAAAGGGTCACGGATACAACAACAATAACTAATTGAATTGATTTTTTTTTTTTTTACATTAAAGATTGTTTATTATTAATAGCTTTTTTTAAACAGTTTTTATTTCATTTTTATGGCTTCCTTTCATCTCTCATTTTACAAACCTTCTTTTATTCATTTAACTTTTGCCTTTTCACATTGATTTTTTCTCTTATTCAGTTTTTGTCCTCTCTTTTCCTTTTTTTTCTTTTTCTTTCACTTTTTCACCATTTTTTCTTTTTTTCCACTTATTCTCCATTTTTCTTTTTTCCTTTTTTCTTCCACTTGTTCAACCTTTTTCTTTTATCTTCCACTTGTTCACCCCTTTTTCTTTTTTTTCTTCCACTTGTTCACCCATTTCCTTTTTCTTTTCATTTATACACCCTTTTCCTTTTTTCTTCCTCTTGTTCACTGCTTTTTCTTTTTTTTCTTTCACTTGTTCACCTTTTTTATTTTATTTTCTTCCACTTGTTCATCGTTTTTCTAGATTTTTCCACTTGTTCACACCTTTTCTTTTTTTCTTCCACTTGTTCACCCTTTTTCTTTTTTTCTTTTTTCTTCCACTTGTACCTTGTACATACTTTTCCTTTTTTCACCATTTTTCTTTTCCCTTTTTTCTTTCATTTGTTCACCTTTTTTCTTTTTTCCTTCTACTTGGATACCCTTTTTCTAGATTTTACCAATTGTTCACCCTTTTTCTTTCTTTTTCCCATTTGTTTGCTCATTTTTACCTTTTTTCTTCCACTTGTACACCCTTTTCATTTTTACCTTTTTTTCTCTTGTTCACCTTTTGTTCATTTTTCTTTTTACCTTCCACTTGTTCACCTGTTGCCTTCATTTTTCTACTTGTTCACACATTTCCTTTTTTCCCCCCCACTTGTTCACTCTTTTTCTTTTTTCTTTTTTTCTACTTGTTCATTCTCTTTCCTTTTTTCTTCCACTTCTACACCCTTTTCCTTTTTTTCTTTTGTTCACCCATTTTCTTTTTTCTTTCACTTGTTCACCCTTTTTCTTTTTTCCTTCCACTTTTTCACCATTTTCCTTGATTTTTCCACTTGTTCACCCTTTTTCTTTTTTCTTCCACTTGTTCATCTTTTTTCCTCTACTTCTTCACCCTTTTCCTTTTTTCTTCCAGTTGTTCACATTTTTTCTTTTTTTCTTCTGCTTTTTCACACTTTTTCCTTTTTTCTTCCACTTGTTTACATTTTTTCTTTTTTTTCTTCTGCTTGTTCATCATTTTTCATTTTTTCTTCCACTTGTCCACCCTGTTCTTTTTTTCCTTTTTTCTTCCACTTGTACACACTTTACTTTTTTCTTTTTTTTTTGCTTGTTCACCCTTTTTCTTTTTTCCCTTTTTCTTTCACTTATGCACCCTTTTTCTTTTTTCATCCACTTGTTCACCCTTTTCCTTGATATTTCCACTTGTTCAACCTTTTTCTTTTTTCTTCCAATTATTCACACTTTTTCTTTTTTTTTTCCACTTGTTCACTTTTTTTCCTTTTTTCTTTCTCTTGTTCACACTTTTTCTTTTTTCTTCCTCTTGTTCACACTTTTTCTTTTTTCTTCCTCTTGTTCACCCTTTTTCTTTTTTCTTCCTCTTGTTCACACTTTTTCTTTTTTCTTCCACTTATTCACACTTTTTCTATTTTCCTTTTTTTCTTCTACTTGTTCACTTTTTTCTTTTTTTCTTCCACTTGTTCACCCTTTTTCCTTTTTTTTTACACTTGTACACCCTTTTCCATTTTTTTTCCATTTTTTTCTTCCACTTGTTCACCTTTTCTCTTTTATTCATTTCTTTCATATACTGTGGACAATTTTCATCCTGCTTTTTCTTCAATATATCTTTTCCTCCTTCATCATATTTTCGCCATCGCTTTCTCCTTTATTCCTTCTCCATAAATTCATCTTCCTTTTTTTTTTCTTTCTTCTATTTCTTTCTGATGAAGAAAAAACAAGAAGCAACAGAAATGTGGTTCTACAGAAGGATACTGAGAATACCATGATCAACAAAAAAGTTTTAACAAAAATGGAATCTATAAAAACACTTAGAATCAGAAAAAGACAGTTGAAATTTATTGGTTACATAATGAGGGTCTAGAAAATTCGATGCTCACAGGACATATTGAAGGTCAAAGGGACAGGGGAGGGCAGCAGACCATCTACTTGATGAGCTTATTTGAATGGATGTTGCAATATGGGGTGAAAGGACAAACATTGTTAACAGCTAAAAGAGATAGGAGGTAGTGGAGAACAATGGTCATAAGGGACATAGTATATAAAAAAATTTCTCTTTGATTTTTCATATTCTTTCTTTCATTTAACTTCCTTTTTTTATTATCTATAACTTTTTCTTGTCAAACTTCCTTTACTGCTTAATATATGCACTGACCAAAGGATATTGTTAGTCATAATGCTGAACTGAACTGTTATGACCTGATGGTATTTCTCTGTGCACTACAAGTTACTTGACAGTGCCCATCTCCTCTCTATCATCGGGTCATAAATACTGTGTCTGTCTATATTTCTGAGATGAGGTATTATGTACACTATTTACATTATTCAGACTATTATTCTCATCTTTGCTGCCATATTTATTTGTTGTGTCGGAAACCTACCACCCCTCTTGAAGATGAACTTGTCTGCGTCTGTGAACAAAGACTTTAAATAGTAGCATGTCAGTTGACATGGGGAAGATAGATAGACAGAGAAGTTCTTAGCTGAGCTAGTTATTGACTACTCAGGCGATTTCTGTACCTTTTTACCAACCTATTAAAACCCTTTTTATTGTTACATGTTATTTGGTGTTCGTCTCTACTAACCCCAAATCAACATCGTAACATTATTACAACATTTCGGCCGTTGTACGCTCCAGCCTTCTTCAGATGGTTGGAATGTCAAATTATACCCTTTATTTCGCTCACTAGGTTAGACTGTTCTAGTTCCACGTGCCATGTTTAATGGATGTCACTTATCTCCTGTTAATTCCCCCTCTCCTAGTTCTCCACTGTCTTAACCGGGTATTGAACTCAAACTCTTTTGGTTCTGTCACTGGATCTAACCAACACCTTTATCCACTGTACTATGTGTCCGTGACGACAAAGATGAGAACAATAGTCCGAATAATGTAAATAGTAAGTACTGTGTTATAGAATACTAATTGCAGGAATGAATTCTTGTACCTGACTTTAAATCAGTAGCAGGCATCCATATTGGAAGGACAGTCAAACAAAAAATGAAATAAAAATTTAGTTTTTTTAAATTGTCTCTCTTAATTTCATTGTACAAGTGCTCTACATTCCCACAAGCTGGTTTGAATGTTGATCCTTGTTTTGATAAGAGTAGGTCCCCCTAGTTGAGTCTTAGCGGCATAGAAGTTGGCCCCAGATATCACCAAATCTCACTGCTTTAAATGATGCCTGTTAATATTATGACTAAGTTCAAGATGACTGCCAATAAAACAGAAGATTAGGAGAAATAGTTTCATTTGTTTCTTCTTTATCTTTTTCTCCATTTCTTTCATTCCATTTTATGACAATGGTAACAGTAGGCATTTCCTTATAAGGAAACATTCAGCATTCATTGACTGAACAATCAGGATTGATTTCTGTCGAAATTTATAAAATTTTTCTCTTAAAACATTTTTTAAGGAAACTAGGTTTCTCAAGTCTAGTCGTTATGTATTGATGGAAATTTCCTTCCTAACCTTTTGCTTTAAGCAGTGTGGAATGTCAGCATCTTCAAGTTACATCCACTACCCATTTTAGTTTTTGCTGATTGAAGTCCTCAGATGATGCAGTTTCTATTATCTGGTACCATTCTTTGTTTGTGATTCTATAATGCCAATTCACAAAGTTTGAAGAGGGTGGTCTTTGCCAAATACCATAGGCTTCACTTACCCAAAGCCATTTTTAACCATTGATTTCAGAAGGTCATTATATAGAGCTGACAGTTAAGATATTTCTGAAATCTTCTACTCCCTTTATAATCCTTTTTACTTACTTTTTTTCTTTTGATTCTCCTACCTATCTATATATCACTTGTCTTTTATTTTTATAATTTTCATATCACCATTTCTTCTTTTCCTCTTATTCACCCTTTCTCTTTTTCTCTGCCTATATATACCCCTATGTGTGTATAAAACAATAGATTTTAGTAAGCCACGATAATTACAAACATGGATAGATAGATAGAGAGAGAGAGAGAGAGAGAGAGAGGCTGTTTTATTCCTATTTTTCTTCTCTTTTAAATATTTACAAGTATTTTTGTATATTTTGACCAAAGCAAATATTTTGCTTATGTTATACTTGAGTATATTTTATTTAAATGACCAATGATTGTTATAAAATATAATTTTTTTTTTAAAGCTTATCTCTGGAATAAATGACAAAAGAACTTTTTCTTTGGTCCAGTGCAGTTTTCACATTTTATTTTCAGTTGGCTTTCATAAATCATTTGTGAGATGACAAATTTTGTGAAGGATTGAAATGAAAGAGCAGAAAACTAACTTAGCAAGAGTGAAATGGTATGAGGAAATTTCAAATAAAAGATGATGATATTGATGATAAGAAAAGCTGAGACAGATTTTTTAAAACAGAAACATAAGAATGTAAGAAAGATTCAAGATGGAGGGAAGAATTTAATAGTTATCATGAAACAAATCTAGGAAAAAGATGATGAAAGCTAACTAAAAACAGAGAAAGAAAATAAGATAAAAACAAGTGAAGAAAAGAAAGAATCAGAATTATGAAAGAAAAAGAATGATTGGAAGAATGGACTAAAGGAAAAAAATAGGGAGGTAGAAATAAGTGAAGAAAAAGAAGGATTAAAAGAAAGAAGGAAAGAGAAATAGAAAGGTAGAAACAAGAGAAAGAAGTTTAAAATAAAAAAGAAGGATTGAAAGAAAGAATGGATTGAAGAAAAGAAAGAAATAGGAAAGTAGAAAAAAGGATTTAAAGCAAATGAGAAAATTGTAAGAAAGAAATAGAAAGGTATAAATAAGTGGAGAAAGGAAAATGAATGAGAAGTTTTACAAAAAAAATAGAAAAAAAGAAAAAGAAAAAATGAAGAAAGAAAAAACCAAGAGTTTGGGCAAAAGAAAGAAAAAATTGGCATAAGGAATTGAATAAAAACGTATTAGAATTTTGAGAGCAAGAAAGAATTGAAAGAAAGAAACAGAAATATAGAAAGGCTGAAATAACTGAAGAAAAGAAAGAATCAGATATTTGAAAGCAAAAAAAGAACAAGTTCAAGGTTGAAAGATGGCAGTAAAGACAAAATAGATAAAAAAAAATGAAATAGCAATGTAAGAGAAAGGAAGGAAAGAGAGAAAAGCAAAGATGGATATACTGGAGGAGAAAACTCCCCCAAAAAAACAAAATTGAAGCAAAAATAAACAAGAAAAGAAAAATATTTAATCAGAAAACTTTTTTTATCAAATGGTATAATACAAACATTTTCTTCACAAGACTTCAACTAATTGACACTGGAAAACCTTGGTCCTTGTGACTACCAACCACAAAATTGACCTTTGGTCTATATCCACAAGTGTGCATTGTTCTACAGTAAATCTACAACAAAAAACACTGGAAATAATAAAATAAACAGAGGAAAAAATATTTGGAAAAAATCTAAAAAAAAAAAAATAAAACTGAAAATAGATTTTGAATTTTTTCAGTCAAAGATAGGATTTGAAAATTTGAACTGATGTAAAAAGAAAGCACTAAATGGAATTTGAGGATTGTCTACTTTAAAATAACCATAAACGCACACATACATATATATAAAATGTTTTTTTTACAGAAAAAAATTACATGCAATCTTTAACCTTTCTTTGCATTTTTTTTATATAAAATGAAATAATTCTTGCTTATTCTAAAATTGGTTTGTCCTTTTTTCTAGCTTTATTATTATTTTTTTAAAATCATCCACACTCATCTTCGTTTTTCTTTTTTTCAAGATTTTTATTTCTTCTTCCTTCCATATCCTTTACCTCTCCTTTTTGCATTTCCTTTGCTTGAATTATTCATTCTCTTTAACTTCTCTTTTTCATTCTCCCTCACTGAACAACAATTACAAATAATATATATGATGGAATCTCCATTGACATATGAAGATTCAACAACCTCATTCAGCATTTATGTTTGTGCTGTATGTCACACTTCACTCCTGCTAGTGATCTGCATACAAGTCCGCATATTGTGCAACAGCAAGGATCTCTGGACATAGCAATGGGAATATTTGCTGATGCTTCTCATTTCATCTCTGAGCCAGTCAATACGACTGATTTTAAAATTTCTGATAACACTCTGGCACAAATATCTCCAGTTATTTCTATCCAGGGCAACTCACTCGAAGTGAATAAGAGACATATTGGCAACTGAGAGGTTACTCTTTAGCTTGTCTTTATACCTGAGCCACACCTGTCCAAAAGTCCTTTGTCCACTGTCAAGCTGGCTATATATGAAGACTGTCGTCTCTCATCCTTGCAACATGACCAGCCCAGTGATGTTGCATCATAAGTGTGTGTATATATATATATATATATATATATATATATATTATTCCTTTTCATTCAGTAAAACTCATATCTGATTTTCTTTAAACAGTATACAGATCAAATACCTAAGTTTGCTGAATCAAATTTTAAAAGAAAAACTTACAAAAGTAATTAAGAAATTCAATTCCATTTTTATCATTTTATCTTTTCACCATCCCTAGTAGTCCCTGTTCTGCCAACCATTTACATTAACTTGTTATTTATGTCATACACTGTTTTCCTGTTCCTTTTTCCATCACTATGTCCCATGAGTGTCATATTCTCCAAACCCTCTTTCCTTATTATATGCCTTATAAATTTCAACTCATTCTTTCTGATTTTAATGACAAGCATCTTCTTTGTTTCCATTTTTTAAAAACTTGCTTGTGATTCATATCTTCAAACTACAGTATCTCAGAATCCTTCTGTAGAATGAGATTTCTGTTGCCTCAAGTCTCTTCTTAATCTTCATGAGATTGTCTTTTGTTCCTTACCATGTAGGAAGACAGATATTACATTGCAGTTCAGGACTATTTTCTTTACAAAAGTGGTATAATTTGAAGAATGATTTTGTTTTCAGCTTGTTAAAATTATTCATATTTTAGAATGAGAATGCTTCAGCCAGAGAGACACTTATCTTTTCTGTTGTTTTAAACTATTTATTTATAGCTAAAACAATAGAAACTACAAGTGTCTAGTAAGCGAGGTGTTCTTGTTCCGAACATGCTAATTAGGAAATAAACTGTTGCATCAGATTCCTAGAGAGAGTGGGTCATTTAATGTGTTTAAGCGAGTTGACAGTTCCAGAACCTAACTGATTTTCTCAATTCTCTTGAGCCTAATCTTCCTTCCCAATGGCTTCAACAAAAAGTTGGGATGCCCATCATGTTTCTCGGAAATCTTGACCATCCAAATTTGTACAATGGAAATGTCAGGCAGCTTCTCTCATATATCATCAAACCAACTATTTTCAGTAGGAAAAGCAAAAAGGAGAATATATTAATTCCCAGGATACTCATGATTCTGATAGTTTTAACCTTTGAATTCAAATGACTTCATTCCCCAGTGAAACTCAGCTTTGCCATGTCCATCAACAAGCCACAATAGCAATTTCTCAAGATCACTGGCCTCAGTCTGACATGTTTTACCTATGTTGGCTGTTCTAACATTGAATCTCAAAGTAGCCTTTTCATCCTGACAGCCAGTGGGAGAAGCACTAATTTTGTGTGCCCAGAAGACCAGCCAATCTAAAAGCCAACATCATTTGTTTCGCTTTCTGTACCAGAATGTTTTTAGTAACAGATAGATTTAAGCATGTAAATAATCTTTATTTTATTTATTGTGCAAAAAGAAATATGTTCAAGAACATATTCTTTCCTGTGTTATATTTGAATTTATTTTTTCCCAGACAATGCTAGGTATCCATGCTAGTAAATGATAAACAAAAAAAACTGTTGAACTGTCGGTACTTTTTTTTTTTTTGCTTTTTTTGTTTAAATGAAACTGATGATTCCAACTGTTCATTTAGACCATTTAGCCATTACTGCCTATACAAATGCCAAGCTTCCAATGGGTTAATTCCATAATGTGTGTTCTCGCATTCTATTCATTGATTTTATTTCACAGCGACACAAAAAGCGATTGCATTTAATCTTTTATTATGTTGAAGATAGCATCGCTCCTCTTGTTTCTTGATTCACAACCAAGATGGACCACTTTTGAGCACTGAGACAATGTCACTGAGAAACAGTGACAGATTTTCAATAATTTCCAGCTCAATGAACCCAATACTTGATCCATTTTTAAGTTAATTTATCACAGGCTCCCTTGTTTATCAGAGTTTCTGCTATGGTGAAGATCTGTTGTACAAGATAACCATTTTACTGATAGGTATATTGTTTTTTTGTTTTTTTTAAGAGGTGTAGCTATAATTGCTCATTAGCTTTCTGGGATTATTGTACTATCATTGCAAAATAAGGGATTTTAGTTTGAACTGGCATCAACATTACTTTTTATTCCCATGAGACATAATGTCATCTGCCAATGAATATTAAATCTGTCTTTATATTTATTTATATGGTCATCTTCTGTACCTCTAAAATGTGTTAATGCTGAAAGAGCAAAACAAGAAAATGACTTCTTTTATGATGAGTTGTTCGCTGATATTTTTTGGTATGCTTTTCATTTACTAACTTTATTTGATTGGGTTTTTGACAATATTTTTTACCAGTCTGTTCTCTAACCTCATTTTGATAAATATGATCAGTGATTAAATCATCAGTAATTTTTTAAATAGATTTTTTTTAATCCCAAATTATTTCTTATTACTATAAAAATTATTATTTTTACTGGGTAGACATGTTTAAATCAACATCCTTGTTTTTTGCTTGTCTTTCTTAAATAGTGAAATTAATGTCAACCACTTTAGATTAAGATGTTCTAGTAAAAAGAAAAAAACAATCCTATTTAAAATTACAGTGTTTATATTTCTGGTATTAAAATAAAACCAGTAGATATAAATTCAAAAGGTCGTAATGAGTGGTGCACATATGTTAAATAGGTAATTGAACCTTGCCATAATATGATAGTTTCCTGTAGCCTAATTGGTAAGGACTCATTTCAGCTATTGGAGTTGTTTTCCTGAAGTTCTGGCAGAGTGAATTGCATCATGGTGCTCTTTTTCTCACAGATGGTGCTCAACTGACCATACTATACTGTGCAGTTGTCATAATCAAAAATAAATGGCATGTATGTGCAAAATTAAAAATATAAAATGCTGAGAATTTACCCATTCCACCCTGTATACATACATATATATATGTGTGTGTGTGTGCGTATTGATGTAATAGGAAAGAACAGTTAGATTGATAATCCAAAGTTCTTTAGTATTTTTGTTTTTATTTTTAATTAACAGTGCTCAGTACAGAA